GTGTGTGTGTGTGTGTGTGTGTGTGTGTGTGTGTGTGTTTTTTTTTTTTTGGCCTAATGTAGACTGCATTTATATACATGTGATAGACATAAATTTATACATTAATCTTTTCTAGTCTTACTGGCTACTTAAAAAACTTACATGCACATCACATTCAGACATTGGTACACAAATTATGACCAACCTGGGGTTTAAAGTTTTTATAATAGACACATTAGCACTTGAGGTTCTAATTAGCAGTTTAAACTGCGAACACCAATTAGTAGAGCAGTGCCCTTCCTCCTATCTGTTAAGACTATATAAATGGCATTTTTTTGCATGTAATTATTTGTTTTTTCTGTGACTTGGCAGACCATATATAAAACTTAAATAATCAGATTTTTTATCTGTATTAAACTTAATCTATATTAAACTAAACAAAAAAACATTAGATTGACAATAGCTGACAATAATGAGCCTTGTGTGTTTTACTTCTTAATGGACAGATGGTTCAGAAGGGAAGTTGGAAGAGAAGAAGAAGGAAGGTTCCCCAATGAGGTCTTMGTCCTCATCTAAGGACTCTGGCAGCAGTGAGAAAAGGTCTGTTACTTAGTACACAAAGATAAATGCAAGTGATATCTAAAAGTGACTGTTGTTAGTAAATCTTGTTCTGGCTATAATCATTCTATCTACCAATAAACAAGCTGGCATGAAAACCTGGGTCATTAAAGTATGTCGTGAATTACTGCATAAAACTAAAAACATTATTATTTTTCATTACAACTCCTCCATCTTGATCATAACATGATGATCAAAGATGTGCATTGCGGACGTAAAAAAATGATCTCTGTGCAGACCAGTCTGCCGGATGTCCGCTTCAAGTCCGCATTGAGTTCGCCTCGAGACGAGTGGACCTCCACGGAGGAAAGTATGCCCGAGTATGTGGGGGCCTTAAATGTTTTCTTCCTCTTAGTTCTTTTGTGTACAAGTGCTTTAGAACTAGGGCACCTAAATAATTTTTCAAGCGCTTTAGGACTTGCACAACTAACTTTTGGATTAGCGCTGCCAACCACTGGTATTAAATGATTGGCAGAGGTTCACCAGTCTGCATTAAACTGTATGAATATAGTGTAAAATTTTCAAAGTAATGTTTCTCAGTTGAAAATTTGAATGACTTTGAATTTCCTATCATTTAATGTTCATATTATCATCAAAGTATTTTGAGGTGCATTGGGTTAAGTAGACCAAYGCACATCCCAGGAATGTCACAGAGCTGGTGACAAACATAAGAGAAGGCAGCCTGAGCATGGCCAGTCTTTGCAGTGAGGTTGATGAAATGGGAATGGAGTGGACAGCTCACCCACTTTGACCTGATGTTGTGCCCTGTCACAGTGAAGAATTTCCATACAGTTGGTGTAGAAATGCAACGTTGCAGTAATGGAATGTGATGACGTGTTGATCAGGCTTTGAGAGCATTGTGAGCTTGATCCACAAGAGGTTCCTTGTCAAGGTGGAGAACTTCTTTGAACATGGGTGAGACAGTTCAGCTGTAGAAGAATAGGAATTTAAGTTCACAGGAACCTCTACCATTCTAATATTTTTATGGCAAGCTCCAGAAATTCACTCTTTCTCCTGGTCTTTGAAAAATCAGCAAAGCATGAGTAGTGCATAGTGCAATAAATATCATCAGGTCAGCTAACTTAAGTTTAGATTTAGGAGATATTTCAGGTTCACAACTCCCTGCAGTTCAGAACTCTCTCCAGTTCAAAATATTTGGCGCATGATGAATTAATCAGAATCCGAATAACTTTATTGCCATTGTCAGTAAACAAGTTCAGACTAGGAATTTTGTCTGATGTTAAGGCCCCCACATACTGCAGTGTACATCAGTCCGCGGAGGTCCACGCGGACTCATTGCGGACTCGAAGCGGATGTCCGCTGGACTGGTCTGCGCAGAGATAATTTTTTAATGTCCGCTGTGTCGCACAATAAACAGAATGACAAATACTGTTTTGGATGTGACACCAAGCTGATAAAGTTGAGAATCTGTCATTTGTGGACGAAATGGAGTCAAATTTTGAAGAGCATCTCATGGAGGAGATTAGAAAACTTTGACGCGTTAATGAAGGAATATAAAGACTTTCAGCGAGCAACAAATTTGTGGGAGGAAATAGCTCAGATCCTGGGTAAGGTAGTTCTTTTCTTTTTTCTTTTGTTGTTTTAAAGCTAAAATGCAAACTATCTCTTCCTCCTTTTCCTTGAAATAATGACTGAAATTGCGAGAAATTAAAGAATTTGTCAGGCGGTCAGTACGCATACGCTTACGTATGAAGTGTCAAACATCCTCGGACAATATGCGCGGAGTCCGCACGGCTCATGGAATGCGCACAGTACACCCGAGTATGTGGGAGCCTGTATGGTGCAAACGTGTAAAGTGGTAGGTGCGTTGAGTGGCTGTTTTATGCCAGAGTTATTAAGAGAGTCATTTCTGAAGGAAAAAACTGTTCTTGGAAGTCCCTGAGGACAAGAGAGGATATTGGGGCTGTGACTTTCCTGAAATCCATGATTAGCTCCACAGTCTTCTGGGGGTTGAGCTCCAGGTTATTACAGCTGTACCAGGACACCAGCCGACCCACCTCCCTCCTGTAGGCAGATTCATCTCTTGAGATAAATCCGTTGAGGGTGGTGATGTTTGCAAACTTAATCAGTTTCATAGACTGATGGTTGGAGGTGCAGCAGTTGGTGAACAGGGAGAAGAGCAGAGGAGAAAGTACACAGACCTGGGGGGGAACCGATACTGATGGTCCGAGTCTCAATGTTCTTCCCCAACTGAACAAACTGCTTCCGAACAGGATGGAGGCAGGCACATTGAGCTAAGAGAGCTTGGCTTGGAGCAGATCTGGCAAGATTGGATCCGGGCGTAGACTCTTGGGGAGTCCAGACCCTCGTACGAAGCAAAGCGGAGAACATGGGACTGGTTTTTACCAGGTTAATACTTTACAAACTGGTGGTAAATACGAGGGATTGCTTCATGTTAACGTGGCACTGCCACAACTTTTTGAGATGTTCAAAATGACCTTATTTCCTTTCATAAAAAATGCTTTAGTTAAAAATGTTATGTTTACTATCTTCTATTGTTAATAAAACATGGATTTGGGATTTGCATATCATTGCATTCTGTTTCTAAATTCGTCTGTCCGTATGTTTTCTTCCACTATTCTGGGGTTGGGTCTCAGGGGTAGCAGTCTAAGCAGAGAGACCCAGACTTCCCTCTCCCCAGCCACTTGGGCCAGCTCMTCYGGGRRAATMCCAAGGTGTTCCCAGGCCAGCCGAGAAACAATAGTCCCTCCAGCGTGTCATGGGTCTTCCTCTGGGTCTCCTCCCAGTGGGAAATGCCCTAAAACCTTACCAGGGAGGCGTCCAGGTGAGCTTGGTCAACATTGTGGCCACAGTTCCATTAAGCTGTCTCGACAATGGGGGCATGGAACATGACCTATTCAGACTCRGTGTCCCCCACCTCTCCCGGAAAGTGTTTAAAGTTCTCCTGGAGGTGTGAGTTGAAGCTCAGTCTGAGGGAGACTCTGCCAAACTTTCCCAGCAGACCCTCAATATACGTTTGAGTCTGCCAGGTCTGATCAGCATCTTTCCCCACCATTGGAGTCAACTCACTACCAGGTAGTGGTCAGTTGAAAGCTGCACCCCTCTCTTCACCCGAGTGTCCAAGACACATGGCCACAGATCAGATGAAACGACAACAAAGTTGATCATCGTACTACGGCCTAGGGTGTCCTAATGCCAAGAACACATAAGGACCAGTGGTGGACAGTAATGGAGTACATTTACTTGAGTACTGCACTTGAGTACCTTTACTTTACTTGAGTAAAAATTTTTTTGGAACTTTGACTCCACAACATTTCAAAAACAAATATTATACTTTTCACTCCATTATGGTCCTTACAAAGGGAACCAATCACAGTTGTACCTCACACCTGGGATGGATTTGGAATTACATCATCTTCATTAAATAGCACCCCCTCCAAGGACTCCAAAAAGGGTGGGTAATCTGAACTGCTGTTAGGCGCATAGGCACAAACAACAGTCAGAACCCGTCCCCCCCACATGTAGGCATTCACCGAGGTGAACTGGGGGGCAATAAGTATGCCCACTCCTGCTCGGTGCCTCTCAGCAGGGGCAACTCCAGAGTGAAAGAGCATCCAACCCCTCTTGAGGAGACTGGTTCCAAAGCCAGAGCGGTTTGTCGAGGTGAGTCCAAATGTAGTCGGAACCTCTCAACCTCTCTCACTATCTCAGGCCCCTTCCTCACCAGAAAGGTGACATTCCATGTTCCTAGAGCCAGCTTCTGTAGCCGAGGATCGGTCCGCCAGGGTCCTCGCCTTCGACCACCGCCCATTGCACATTCTGTATTTACATTTTTAAAAAAAATTTATTGGAATTGAGACTGCACTTTTGGCTCAAGATGGTGTCACCCAATAATTGTTCTACCTTCAGTTACAAATGGGATCACCCAATATTGTTTACKTTTTGTTTCAGTTAGTGCCAATTTTTGGTGATTTCTTCACAATCAGTCCTGAAATGAAATGTAAATTTAACTGCACAGTTTGTACCTGCACTGCCTATGAAGTTTCATACATGTCTCTGATCATCTCACCTTTTTACAGCAGTAAGAATTCTGGGGACCTTCCCACCACCCCAACCACACCCACCCTACCCCATCGGGTCACCTCTTTCCCCCCTCCCCCAGTCACCACAGATAGTGTCCGGAGCAAGAGCAGAGAGCTACTGGTGGCTGCTTTGCAGACCAGTGGTAAGGAAATTTGTTATGTCAGTTTTAAGTATTTGCTCAATACAGAATCATTCAGACAAACTTAAGGTGCATATAAATTATTGTAAATGTTTAAAAGACAAGCAGTTAGTGACTTGTGATGTGTTTTGGCCTCAGTCATACTTTCCATTGCCATAAGCACCTATACATATTTTTCTCAGCTTGGAATGTTTGTAATAAATTATGAGTGTAGATTGATGTTGTTTTTGTTGAAAAAAAAATAATAGGGGGCATTAAAAGCCATCCTCAATGTCAGTGAAATTCCATTATCTTCCATCAATCCGTTCTCTCTCTCTCGCTCTCTCGCTCTCTCTCGCTCTCTCTCTCTATCTGTCTGTCTGTCTGTCTGTCTGTCTGTCTGTCTGTCTGT